GCTAATGGTACCTCCTAGGCCACAGGGTTGCTATAAGAATTAAATGAAATGATCTGGGTCAGATGCTTGGCTTATGGCTTACGAAGGTTGGCTGTTATCAGTTCTGATCACCTCTGCAACTGTTACCTTATCCATCGTGCTTGGGTTCTAAAATCCCCCAATTCTTAAGGTCGCTTGTATTTCATACTCAGATTGTGCTTTGCTGCCTTGGTGTCATCTCTGAGCGAGATCTTGGTGGTGACGTCCCCGCTTGGGACAGACGCCTCCAGCTGTGCAAAGGTCATCCAGCCTCTTCCTCCTTCCTTCCAGGAATTGCACCTCTGTGTTTCCCGCAAGCACTATGCTCTGGAGCATGGATGCAGGCTACGAGGGCTGCCACCTGGGAACTACAGTGTGCGAATCCGGGCCACCTCCTTGGCAGGCAATGGCTCCTGGACAGAAGCCACCTATTTCTACGTGACAGACTACCGTAAGTCTGAGACAACCTCAAGTGTTTGAGTCTGTGCTTGGCGCTGGGTATCGTAGAACATTTCAGAGGATGATCCAGGGATATTATGAGTGCTTGACCTGGGTCTTAACCCCCGGGTTCATCTGCTGCTGCTGTGTGACCAGGGCCAAGTGCTTGCCCTCTCTGATCCTGCACTTTCTCATCTGTACATGGAGATAATAACAGGACCCACTTCAGGAGGTGGAGGGAGGTTTCAATGACATAAATGTTATGTGGCTGGCACAGGGCACCTCGGGATGAACACATTAGATCCTGTTACTAGCTGCTGCTAGTGTCTCCATCTTTGTTATTAGGATTTTATATCTGCCAAAAGCGGTATTGGGATTGGGACTAGCTATGAAATTTGCAGCATCCCATGCAAAATAAAAATGCGGAGTTCCTTGCTTAAAAGGTAGTACCAGTTTCAAGGGGGCAACAGTGTTGCATTGAACTGAGAGTGAGGCCCTGCATGATTCCCTGGGGTGTGTGCCTGTAAAGCCGGCCCTGGGTGCAGAAGAGAGCTAGCAGTGGGCAGTGGTCTGGGGGGCATGGATGTATTTCCAAAATACAGACCTCCCAGGATCTCCCAGACCTCCCAGTCCACTCCTGGGCCCACCAAGCCAAAAGGTATTTTAGGCTGTCTGGAAAATAAGGGTTTGAGAGGCCAGCAGAGAGAGGCTCCGGGACAAGAGAGGAGAAAGTTTTGCTCGTTCCAGGCTTGGACGTGATTTTTGATGTGAACGTAGATGTGAACCCATTTCGATGTGAAGTGTATATTTTCTCATTCTGTTTCAGTAGATGTCCCATCAAATATTGCAAAAATTATCATCGGCCCCCTCATCTTTGCCTTTCTCTTCAGTGTTGTGATTGGAAGCATTTATATATTCCTGAGAAAGAGGTGAGTGCAGAGGTGTGCTGGTAAATGGTTAACAACCGGCTCTCTGGGGAAAATAGTATGCCTAGACGTACGTATAAGCATATCTAAGTTTGTTTTACATTTACTGAGATAGGACGTGTAAGATGCAATTTACAGATCACAGTCATAATGCAATATACAATACTCTTTATTGTCAATTCCCTCTTGACAGTTGATTCTCGCGGTATGCATTTGTTGATTTTTTTTTTTGCCCAAGCCTTTGTATCTGCAGTCAACCTATAGCTGCAATTGATAAACAAGTATAGCTCCAACGTGTTTTTGTTTATAAGGCCAAAATGAAATAAGATGGATGTGGGTACTTCAAAAAGTTCGTGGAAAAATAGAATAGAAAGAATCTTCTCATGAACTTTTTGAGGTGCCTTCGTATACGTTCATCAGTGATATGAGAAACTTCTTCGCCAGATCAGATAATAATTTTTAAATATCAGAGCATTTAAAAAAATATTTGTGCTATTTGCTCTGTCATGACA